TAAAGAAAATCTCGACGGTAAGTAATTGGAGGTCGACGGGAAAAAAAAAAAAAGGAAAAGATCGACGGCGGTCGGGATTCATCTCTGCTACCGGTGGCGGGATCTCGAGTCTCGCCTCAGCGAATACTCATCTCTAATATCTCTTTTTTTTCATTATTATTATTATTTGTTTATTTAAAAAGTAATGCAGTAATTAGGGGACCGTCCTTCCAACAGGGCCACAGTCCCACTAGGAGAGAGGATTCGATTCCGTGCCTGAATCTGGATGGACTTCGAGCAAAGATGCAGAAAATCCATCACGATCTTCTGCACGTTTCCACAAACACGTCCAGATTCAGGCGCTTAGTCAACTCCTCTTTGCTAGTGGGACCTCGCCCCAGGTAGAGAGTTCCACTACAAGAGAGAGGGGCAATCTATCATCTCTACTTCCCCCCCCACCTTTTTTCTTCATCTGTAGATTCTGTACTCTTCCTCCTCCTCCGCCCCCCCCTTCCCGTGCCCCCTGCGCCTCCTTCTCTCACCCCCAGATCTTATCTCTAATATCTCTTGATTGAAATATAATGCTTTGTTTTTTGTTGGTTGGGAGGGGGAGGGGGAGGGGGAGGGGGGGGGGGGGAATCTCTCTTGCACGTGATAGTTTCCCCAGTGGATGTGGAAACGGATCCCGATGGCAGGTTCTGCAGTGGATGTGGAAACCGATCCCGATGAGAGGTTGTCCCGTTGATGTGGATACGAATCCCGATCTGGTATTGGATGGGGCTCGCCAGTGGATGTGGATACCGATCCCGATACAGCATTTGAGAGGCCGCCCATGTGCTCGATGTATATGGATGTCCGTATTGATCCCGATCTGGGATTGGATAGGTTCCCCAGCGATGGCGGGTACGGATCCCGATCTGCGGGGATTGGATAGGTTCCCTAGCGATGGCGGGTACGGATCCCGATCTGGGATTGGATAGGTTCCCCAGCGATGGCGGGTACGGATCCCGATCTGGGATCGCCAGTGGATGTCGACCCGGATCCGGGGATCCGGATCTAGGTCTGGGGGGATTTGATTAGTTTCCCCAGTCGATGCGGATCCCGATCCCGATCTCGATCTGGGATTTGATAGGTTCCCGTGTGCTATGCATGTGGACACGGATCCCCAATCTGGGAGTTGACAAGTCCCCCACTGTGAATTTGAATGTGGATGATACGGATCCCGACCTTGATACAACGCAAGAGCGGGACGGTACCTGGTTGTGTTTTTTTTTTTTTTTTTT